CTCACGGTGATCAACATTTGTTGCAAATCGTGTGGCCATGATACAGGATGCGACTTCGGAATTCTCCTGGAAACATGTAAGGTCTAAGCAAAACCCAGCAGATTTATTGTCCAGAGGTTCACTTCCATCAGAACTTTTGAATTGTGCTCTTTGGTGGCATGGGCCCCAATTTTTATCCGATCCAAAGTTGAGCTTAGATAATTTTCAATTCAATAAACATGTAAGAAATCTCCCTGAAGAACGAAAAACTACTTATGTAATCGAAAACTTATGTACTGGACTTTAATGATATTTTCTCAAACTTCTGAAAATATACTCGTCTCCAAAGAGTCTTAGCTTACTGTCTCAGATTTATCAACTCTACAAGTAAATTCTCAAAACATTTGTTAGGTCCCCTCTCGGTTTCAGAATTGCGAAAAGCTGCAACCAAAATAAGTTATGTTATTCAACGCACATGTTTCAAACAGGAAATAAACAATCTAAATTCCAAAGGTCAAACTTTTAATAAACAGCTTCAAAAATTAAACCCCTTTCTAGACTCTGAAAATATCCTGTGAGTTGGTGGAAGATTGTCAAATGCAAATATCCCGTACTATCAAAAATGTCCCATACTTCTACCATCTAAAAATCATACAGTTCGATTGATTCTCAGAAAAGAACATTTGAGGCTCCTACATGCTGGACCTCAAACTACCCTCTCGTCCCTCTCTAATATTCGGCTTCACCATTGGCCACAAGACGGTCTTCGAGAGGTGAAAAAGATAGTTCACGAATGTCACACTTGTTATAGATTTAGAACTCAGGAGACTTGTCAAATAATGGCAGACTTGCCAAAAGAAAGAGTAGAAATTTCTCGTCCATTTACCAATGTTGGTATTGACTTTGGTGGACCCTTTCCTTATAAATATTCACTTCTTTGTTTTTGTTTGCATGGTTACACGGGCAGTGCATATCGAATTGGTGTCCAGTCTCACGACGGAATCATTTCTTTTTACTCTAAAACGATTCATCGCTCGGCGCGGTAATCCTAGCATTATATTTTCTGACAATGCTACAAATTTTGTCGGTTCTCGCAATCAGCTGCATGAACTTCATTCGTTTTTATGACATAGCGAAAATTCGGACGCAGTAAAGGAGTTCTCGTCTGCCAATCTCATTAATTGGAATTTCATCCCTGCTAGGACTCCTCATTATGGAAGAATATGGGAGGCAGCAATAAAAAGCGCAAAACATCATCTAATGCGAACCATGTGCAACACTAAGTTTACTTTTGAGGAGCTCTCTACTTTGTTGGCTCAGGTTGAAGCAGTTTTAAACTCACGTCCTTTATGTGAACTTTCAAATGATCCCTCAGATTATTCTTACCTAACTCCCGGACATTTCCTAATTGGCTCTTATTTGACTAAGTACCCAGAGAAAGATGTGATAGATGTATCTCAAAATCGACTCACCTTATGGCAAAAATGTTCACAAGTTCAACAACAATGGAAGTTGTGGACTAAAGACTATCTAAATCGGTTACAAAATCGGCCTAAATGGTTTCTTCCTTATCAAAATGTTAAAGTTAATGACCTTGTTATATTGAGCGATGAATCCACTCCTCCATTAAAATAGCCTCTGGCTAGGGTCGTTGAGGTTTTTCCCGGAAAAGATGGACGTGTTCGTGTTGTGAAGATACAAACCAAGGATGGAGTATTTACTAGATCCATTGCAAAAATATGCCTTCTTCCTGGGTGTCAAAACTAAGTTTGTTTCAAGTTGAAGGGTTCTATTTTGGAGTAGTTACCCCAAGGGGGGGAATATGTTGTGAAATAACTCACAGCACAATATATAAATTTACATTGTTTGTCATGCTTCGGTAATTTAGCATCGACTTTAGATAAAATAACCGTAGTCTTTAACTTCTGCTGAGATTGGTGGGACAGGTCGACAGGTGGTGCAATAAGGTAAGCAGGTGAAGATAATCACCTGACTGGTCGTATTTCGCACCAGAAAAAGAAAAAGTCAATCAGGGCGCATATTCCGAACCCATGATTCGATAGTATCGTCTATCTATTTTATATGGACGATACTATCGAATCGTAGGTTCGGAATCCGGGCCCAGCTCTAAAAAATTGTCAAATAGTAAAAAAAATTCAAGGGGAATTTTTCTCGCTCTTCCTCCATCCGGCAATTCTCACAGTAAGGTTGTAATCTAATGATACGAAATACTCTAATTCTAGATCAATTGTGATTTTAAATGTTAAGGTATTTGTATATTTCGCAGTTTATTCAGAAAATAAATTTGCTGATTATTGTTGACACAATTCCTTGGTGTTTTCACCTGGTCCTTCGAAAACAGTATAAGTACAAAATCCCTTGAACCGTATTGGAAATTAACAGCTCCCTGGGTACCAGCAACCTATTGGGATCTCGGTAAATGTATGTGGAGAATATTTCCTCACAACCATACTGGCCAGAGGCTAATGGAATGGCAAACAAGTCGCGGATAATGCCTGTAACTTTTTAATTACCTCGTATACGAAAAAGTGACCTTAATAAAAGTTGCTCAGTAAATGATTTCTCACATTTCTACCTGGACGAATTGTTTCTATCACTCCTAGTTTGTATGTGCTATCCAGACCAACTTTGTTTTTCCAAGTAAAACACTCTGTACGTGATTGCATATTCGGATTCTGCGTAAAATTCTGAGCAGATTATATATGATATACCCAAGTTCAACTGTTGGAAATATCGACAGTTGAGAATTGACTTTTTTGCAACTTTAACAGGCTGTAAAATCTAATAGTCCAGGAGGCAGTGAAATTTTTTTGCACTTATTTTCCCAGTTGGTGTATAGAGTAAAAATTAAAAGAGAATAAGCCATTGACGTCATCGCTGACAAAGAAGGCAGATTTCCTTTTCTCTGGGTCCCTCCTATTTGAAGTGAGACAAACGATAACGCGTGTGACTTCTTCTCGTTTGATTTTTACTCTATTAAATTAAATAGTTTGTTCTCTTGGTGATACAAAACAAGAAAATTTGACTTTCGCAAAAATTTTTGGATGGGTTCACAAGATCAATGAAAAATACAAGTACACTTATTTTCCCAGTCAAAAATATTTCACATTCACTACAATAGAACATCAAGTATAGTCTAAGAGCCAGCGCCGAAAAAATTCTCTGAATTTACTAAAGCTAGTTTTCGGACAGTTGTATACAGTATTTACGTACATAAACATACCGCGGTCAGTCAAGCGAAACTTGGGACAAGGACTCAGGGTGTCTTGTTAAAGGTGTTGAGATAACTTGAGTAATGCAACGAATTTACTAAAGCTGAAAATCGTTATACATATTACATATAACATATAAATAACAGTAGTGTTAGTCAGTCAGTTGAATAGCGGGACCGTGCTGGTCAGTCAGCCCCAATAAATGTAAAAATCTGCAAAAGATATTAATTTTACTGAACAAACCTATTAATTTATACTTCAACCAACAATTTTGAATTGTCACTGTCACGGTGTGACTCTAAAAAAAAAATAGACCTATTATTTTTTTTATGTCATACCAATACATTATTGTGTTTTTATACCTTAGATACCATCTACATAATTCATTACTTTATGCCCGTGCGGGCATAAAGTACACATTATGGCCCGCGCGGGCATAAAGACGCAAAAAACAGTTTTCAATTAACTTATTCTTTATTAACAAAGTATAAATTTACGCTTATAAACATATTATTTTTGTCAAAAAATGATGATGTTTGCACACTGATGACAATTTGCGAAGTGACACTTTTTTCCCAGGTATTTATTATTCACAACCAACTGGTATGACATAAAAGTTTGTATGCACCACGGGTACTAATAGATATATATATACCCTCGGGCGACTTACGAACCCTCGGGCCAGAGGCCGTCGGCTTTGTAAGACTGTCGCCCTCAGGGCATAATCATCTACTTAGTACCCTTGATACATAAATAACTATTACATAAATTGGGGCTGAACTACCTCAAAGGGGCTGAATGACCGGCCCAGTTCCGCTATTCAACTGACTGACAAACATCACTGTTATTTATGTGTTATATATAATATGTATAACGAGCCTTAATAAATTCGTTGCATTACCTAAGCTATCTCGACAACTTTAACCAGACACCCTAGGGTGCCCTAGGTCCTTGTCCCAAGTTTCGTTTGACTGAATTCAGAGAATTTTTTCAGCGCTGGCTCTCCGGCAAGTATATGAAAATAGCAATTTGGCTTATCTCAGATAGTGAAAAGTGAGTTTGACTGAAATTTTTGGATCTTTAATTTTTCACTTGCCAGACGTATTATCCTTACTCACAGATTAGCCGGATTATTTTTGTACGTAACTTCAGTATGCTTCTCATTAGTAGACCTATTTTTATCACTGAAAAAAAAGGGCCGTGCATTCGTTAGCTCTAACGCAATTTGCGGCTCGATCCATCGGAAAACCCCTCCTAAAAATATAGGAATTTTGCTTAGAATTACTAACCCTACAATTCTATCCATGTTGTCTGACTGGGAAACTAAGTGCCGAAAATCGTCACTGCCTCCTAGACTATAAACGGTTAATTTAGGAGGAAAACCGATTTTACATTCTTGTCTTAGAGCCGATACTTTTGCTCTCGATTAACGAATTTGATACGTCGTCAAAGTTTTGCATGGGCCAAGGTCTATAAGTATATGTATATGAGATTTCAAGAGATTTTCTCGTATCATCTCCTGTGATTTCCACTGAAAATAGAACTTTCAGTTCCTCTGGTAAGAGTTGATTTCTGCCGCGACAAATTCTTTGAATTTACCAGGTCCAAAGATTTTGATCAATTCGGCTTCTTCATTCAATACCTAGTAGGTGTGCCTGAAAGAATCTACTTAAAAGTCTTGTAAGGCTGATTTACTACTTCTGGAAAGTTTATGGCTTCCTCAATGAAGCCTTTTATTTAATCAATAAAGCATATCTGATTTGATATTAATCTTACATTTTCTTTCAGATATCGCTAAGTTTTGTGGCTTGTCAATTGCCACCAAGACTACAAATACCTGGCGCCATACCTCTAGGAGGTGGTTCCAGACCGGCACCATTCAGAATACAAAATTCTTCTCCGATCATCTCAAACCCAAGACTAAGGAGACCAAATGCCATACCATCAGCAGCTAGAGAAGTACTTTTATACATTTCTGTTTAATATTTTTCTCATTTACTCGCGTTTTTAGGTAAGACCGGTTATAGAAGAAGTTGAAGAACCAAATTATCCATCACCAAGTCCATCCAGTGCTTTTGACGACGAAGTCAATAAAATTTTGCAATCTTCAAGAGATGAAGAAGATGGTAATTCTTTTAAAACTTCAATTATATTCGGACATACTCAAGTCCTATTCTCTTGATTCTCTCTCTATGTTATTCTGCGTGTAGGTACTCCCACACAATTTTTGCAGTTGCAAGGAGCAAAAACTCTATTTTTGCTTCAACCCTGATTGATGTTGTTCTGAGGTCTTACGAAGTAAAGGGAAAGAAGAAATTTTATGTACAGCTCTTTCATAGGTTCTCATAAAGCAAAAAAAAAAAAATCAAGAAAAAACTTCTGGTTCCGCCTTGGAGCCCACAAATAAGCTGGACGAATGTGAAGAAATTTAAAGAGACGCATGTCTATTCCTACTGAAGTACTGAAAAGCACCAAATTGTTATATTTTTCAGAACGTCAAACTCCATTGCCATTCAGACCAGAAAGACCAGTGCCAATTTCCAGGGACCAAATTAGAGAAAGAAATACGATATCCAGACCTCAACCAGCGCCAAGACCTCAAAGTCAACTTAGACAAGAAATTAGAGAAGAGAACATTCCTATTAGACAAGCACCTATAAGACAACAAGTAGGTGATTTTGATTAATAATTATACAAACGATTGTAATTTCTTGTGTTATACCTAATTCTTGCAATTTTGCAATTTTTCTTCAACGACTATCCTATTTCTGGTAGATCAGTAGACCGGCTCCTGCACCACAAACCCTTAGAGCTCCAGCAAAACTTCCTACGCGTCAACAAGCTTTCGAAGATGAAGAAGAAAGAGACAGAAGACGCAGACCCGTAGTTCAAATTTTAAGAAAATACCGTACAGATAATGAAGACGGAAGCATCACTTGGGGCTTTGAAAACGACGATGGCACCTTCAAGGAAGAAACTTTAGGAGTCGATTGCATTATTCGAGGAAATTATGGATACGTTGATCCTGATGGTGTAAAAAGGTGAGAATTATTCGAGAGATTCTGACATACTTTTTTACAAGCAAAGTTTTCAGAGAGTTTTCCTATGAGGCGGGTAACAAATGTGATGAGCCAGACCCAGAAGATGAAGAAGAATTATTACAAAAACCGATTCCGCAATCGAGAAACAAACCTCTGCCTTATCGGCCTGCAGCTCAACCACAATATGTAAATTAGGATAATTTATTGAAAATAATAATTTTTAGGTACAAACATGTAATTTTAATAGGCCACAATTGTATATTGGCTTGTTTTTTTTCTTTTTTTTTCTCTATTTAATTATCTTTTTTGTCTTGTTTGAGTTTTTCTATTTTATATTCCTTTTTTTACGCTAAACTGCCTGTTTGTAAATTATTTGAACTTTATATTTTTTAAATAAAACTTGTACAAACAAATAAAGCCTATACTTAATTATTTTCGAATTATAAAGCTTTGTTTATGCTGTCTTTTAATACATATTATGACAATCAAGAATAAAACATTTTCTCTCTACAGACCTAATTCCCAGAAAAAAATAAATGAATCAATGAAGGATGGTATACCTTTTTTTAGTGTCTTATCTACCAAGAAAAAGTTGCCAAAATTTTTTACTTTGACTGACTGTATAAATTAACCATTAGGTGTTGGATCATTTAAGCCTTGTATTGGGTTAAGGAAGCCTTGATTCTCATTTATACAAATAAAACGCTGAAATAGAATAGTTATCAATGTATAAAAATCAGTGAAAAAACTGCTCGACATTATTCTATAGGCTAAATGGTGATGGTATAGTGGGATACTAAATTCTTTTCCAGCATAGTGTCTATAGAATTAGTCAGAGAAAAACAAACTGTAATTTGAATTTAGCGCCACAGCGGCGACCAATAGTATTCATGCCGCTGACCATCTGGCAACGCTGCTCAAAATGACAGCTGACTTCAACAGTTCAACGACGTGTGGTGTCGTGTGAATCGTGTGATATGTGACAATCATAGACTTGTTTACGTTGTTTGATGTAGTAAATTTGATGTTTCGTTCTTGACGGTCAGTGGTCAGTGCAAATTGTGCGTTCTCAAAACCGTGGTGTGTTGCCAGATTGGAAAAACTAACTACGTCACGAACTTTTATTTTCACGTAGGGGCGGGGCTAAGGGGAAATTTTAAAAATAAATTTCCAGGCTATTGCGGTTTTTACAAAGCAACTGATTACACTAAATAGTACGATACGTCGAGTATATCACTAGGTGGTAGTTAAAAATCACTTGTATACTACCCCATTGGACGTCCAGTCGAACTACAAATTTTATACTAATCTAAAGCAAAGTTTTCTAAAGTAAAGTATCTTGATTTATAAAAAGTAGTGAAATCTGATAATGATAATAATATCATTTATGGTTAAATGTTCAATGAACGAGAACACAAATTAACTAATTAAATGCACCAGAGCACAAAATAAATAATTCGTCAACTTCAATCAGTTCCAGTTCACTGCAATCACAAAATGTTTATTGATCCTCGAAAGTTCTTTTATTTATTGAGAGTTAACAATTTGAGCACTTTTCTGCCGAAGTCTGTAAACATTGTGCAAGAAAAGTCTTTATATATATGCTCAGTTCTCAGTTTCTATATACAAATGTACAAATGTTAATTTCACGTGTGTGAAAACCAAATTTTTCTGCATTAGAGGTTAGAACACTTCAATTTATAGTGCATTTCAAGCGAATCACTAATCAGTATTTATTAACTTATTGTTCGACTGTTCAGAGAAATTGTAACGGTCTTACTTGCTTAATCCAGTTCATACAGATAAAACTGGATAAATCCATAAGGCGATTATTTATCCATTTTTTACTATTCGCACTGACAGCTAATAGACTGTGAGATAGGGGCTGTTTAGTGGAGTCATTTTTTTTTGTCTGGCATTTTGAGGGTTGATTGTGGCTAGTTATCTGATGAGAATATGGGTGATTTTGATGCCTGCCTTCCGTTCGAAAATTTGCAGAAGAAAAAAATTGATTTACAAGAAGAATTTTTTTTTAATGATCTCAAATTTTCTGGCTTCTAAATAATAGATTGACAATGATAAATAATTCACTCATGAAAAATACCAGATGCTTTTCAACTTCCAAGAGAAAAGAAAAGAAACTTCCGCGTTTACTTTTTGTCTGGCAATCGAGAGAATAAATGCCAGACAAAAAAAAATGACTCCGCTAAACAGGCCCTATCTCAGGGTCTATAAGGGATTTTCCATTGAGAGAGAAAACACAATGATATACAGGTGAGTTGGGGCCCGGCGAGAGTGAGAGAACCAAAAAAAACAGGCGTAAGAGAGAATTTTGCTCGTCCGAGATGACTTGCAACAATTAGGGGTTAATTACATGAATTGTAATCAATAATATAGATGATGTCAGGCCTTGAGACCTGAGAGTAGTATTTTACTATAAATCGCGTACTAACGGGGGTTTTTGCCTCTGGAGAGAGTTCAGAAGGCGCGAGGGTGCGAACTCTTCGCTTGTTCTATAACTAGTTGTTACTGCCGTGGTGCCGTGCCGAATGCGCGTCGACTAGCTTTTCCGGAGCCAGGTCGCAAAAATCTAGGGATGTTGTGTGGCGACTGACCAATCACAGCCGCGAAATAGCTCCATTGTCTCATAGGGTAATTTTACCGATTCAAAGGGTTGTTGCTGCCGGTTTTACAGGCATCTATTTTGAGAATATTATTTTTATGATAAATAATAGAAATTGAGATTATATTAAATTAGAAATAATAAAAGTTTAAACTTGTTGTCGGTTATTTCCGCAACACCATCATAAAACCGACCGAGGCACCACCCAACCAGGGGTTCGAAAATCGAAGGTTAGCAAGTTTCAGCTTGGTGGCATTCAAGATTTTGGTGGTCGGCAACGAGTACCGTTTCATTGACATACCACGTTTCATTCTTCGGTTTCATTATTGCTTTCCTCTGGAATATAAGTATTTTGGCTTTTCGATTTGTGTTAAATCTGTAGTTTTATTATTCTACTCGTAGGTACCTATTTATAGAGCAGCGTCCGGATTAACCTATATGCTAGCGTTGGTGCTCGTTAATAAAGTAAACGACAGTTTTTGGATTTGATAATTATTATTGTGATTTGATGATTCACAGATTAATGAAATTCAAACATCATCTGTAAGACTAATTACTGCACAATCAGTTTTATTTTCTTTTGTGCTGACTTTTTATTTCAAAAGCGTACGAAAATTAATATTTAGCTTTACACTACATATTCTTGGGTTCGCATTCTTCGATCGAACCATTGTGTGACTGTGACGCTCTTAAGGGTTACTTTCAACGATTCGTCTCTGTACCTGAGGTTCGAAGGAAAAAAGCCCTAAATTATATCTGCTCGCCCTGCAACGATATCATCGGCCGATCTCTCTGGTCTTAAAAACTAATCTGAGTAATCTGGATTAAATCTTGACGGTGCATTTGGGCTGTAAACGTTGATTTGGGCGTGAGTCTACCAGCGCTCAGTGGTTGAGCGCGTTGGTCCGTGATTGGCAAGGATGATACACACTACTACTAAAGGATAGCCTATCCTCATAAGGCCTCTGTGGAACAAATCCCCCCACCCCGCCTTCGCGCGAAATCACCAGTTGTGACGTAGGCAGCATGTCCTTTCTCGCCTTGACATAGGCTCTTTGCACTACAGAGGTTATTTCGCGGGCTTTTGCTTTATGGTTTATAATGGTTTTACTATATCCTGTTCACAATCCGATGTCCACAGATGCAGGATCACCTTTCCCTATCAAATAGCATTGAAAGGTGATAAATTTTACCGGTACACGGACATCGGATTGTGAACGGATAATACATTAATTAACAATAACATTAATTAACATTCTAAAACAACTCGTTTTCCTCTTTACCTATATTAATGGTAATCAAAATTAAATAATATTTATCTACAAACGTGCGGTAACTTAGGTATATTACACGATTTTGCGTGCGGTAAGTACCATATTACCGCACGCTCTACCTACATATATGCTTTTCAGATATATTTGGCGAAATGTCATTCTTGGAAATTTGACAGGTTGACCCTCGTATAATAATGACAGTATATGTCAAATTCCAGACAGTTTGAAGTGTGTTTCACATAATTTCGTAAGTGTCGCGGTATTAAAATTCTCTGGTTTATCTGGCGAATCAAATTTGACACATTTTTCAATGCATTTTTCAATGGTGCAATATATAAACGGAACCTAAGTATTTTGCATACCAGCAAAATCTATTGACAGCTTTTAAAATTCGGCATTGTCAAATTTATTTCATATTCAAGATGCACAAAATAATTTCACAAAAAATAAGAGAAATAATAAAATGTTACTTACAGCTACATACATCGAAAAAAACAAACCAGGAGGTTTTTCAGGGAATACAAATTGAAGCTTAACTATCAGATATATTTGGGGTAGCTGTGGGTAGGTAGGTATAGTTTAAATGTAGATGTAAAGCCAGTTTTTACAACCAGCAATCAATATTTTTGTTGGACCAAACCCGAAAAAAAAGTTACTGTGAAAACCTATTTAGGCTGTTAAGCTTACTGTTATGGTTACGTTTGATATATCTTATTTCAAATAAATCAAATAAACTTACTACATATAGTTACCCAATCTTTTTTTTTTAAATCAATTTGGAAAAATATTTTGGAATTGAATCTGCTCAGATATTTTACACATTCTGGCAACTCGGCTTTCTGTTTCATAACCCTGAATTTAAAAAAATACTTTGTCATCAAATGTCATTATTATACGAGGGTCAACCTGTCAAATTTCCAAGAATGACATTTCGCCAAATATATCTGAAAAGCATATAGGTCTTGTACCTTCAATTACCTACCAGAGATAAATTACCTACCTATCACTTATATACATTCTACTTGTCCACTGTCAAAGGTGAAAGGTGACAGACGCAATTTTTTTTTTAAATAATCTTTTAAACTTCTTTCCGATATTTCGTTACCGCACGCTTGTAGATAAAATAGGTACCTACTGTATATAATACGTATGGTAATTAGGTTATTACCGCCCTTAGAGATTGCAAACCTCGCCTCACCGGCTCGGTTTGTAACTTTCTCTCGCATGCGGTAACAACCTAGTTACCACACTTATTATATAATATACTATTATTTTCATCCGTATATGTAATGTTAACATTACAGGCTTTTTTAAATCTTGAAAGCTTACATTTCTGTATTTTGACATTTTATTGGGACGGAAATGCATATGGTAGCCTAGGCAGGCATATTCATTTCCGTCTCCATTTCGGGTCAGTTAAGTTAGCCCCCCCCATATTTCCAAATCCATTAAAACTTATACCATTTTTTTGCACCCATTTTGCACCGTTTTGCACCACCCGAAAAAAATTTTGCACCCCCAGGAGAGA